CAGCTCAGCCTCGGTGGGATGGAAGAAAGAGCATATCTTCTCTAGCTTCGCCGTCAAGAGCACGGCGAAACACAGCATCAGTGTCAACCGAAGCGTCGAGGAGGGGGGCAGACTCGACAGTTTCGCCAGTATCGTCGAGACGGTTGACCTGCCTTTCGAGCGAGTATATCCTGTACCAACCAACAGGACAAGTACATTTATTAGCAAGGAGTAAACAAAATCAAATCTTACAAAAACGCTAGCGCAACAGCTTCAAATAGGAATATCATAGGGCATCATAGCACATGGAAAATCATGGGTGGGAGAAGGCGGAAGCTCACAGTTTCTTCAGATTGCTATATGCAATATAATAGTTGCTCCAATCCGGTACAGCATTGAACTGGATGCTGTGGGAGAACTTCATAATGTCGTCGTCGTCCCTTGTCTGGGTCCCCCAAGGGCGCCGTCTGGTATTCCTATTTCTATTCCTAAGGCTCACAGCACCCCCCGTCTCGGAATAGTAATCGTCTTCAGTATCCTGCCACGCTTCCCATTTATGTACTCTTCCCTCCGGAGATGGCTTCTTTCTGCCCGCAACTCCGTCAGGCCGAGAAAAATGATCCTCTACGCTTTTCCACCAGCCTCTAGGAGTAGCAGAACTAGTTGTTGAAGAAGCAGGATCCGATCCACCTCTTCCTCCTCTTTTGTCTTCCTTTGCGGACCCTAACCTGTCAGGGCGAGGGTAGCGTGGGGGTGACTGTAAACCGTTTGCGGAGGGGGAAGGATGATCGAATGTGACCAGCTCAATGCTCCAGGTTCTCTGTGTGCCAGCCAGGGCGACGGTGTATACGGCTAACCGTTGTAGAAAGGCGACAAGAAAAAGCAGTCTGTCTGGAAGTATAAATGTCGCGGATGACCGGTAAGCCTTGGCTGGTTGGGGACTGGGGTGCTGGACTCGTCATAAATAGTCGTGGGATCGATCGATCACGAAACCGTATTGCCGGAAGGTTTGTCCCCCTTAACCAGTTACAGGATCTATCTATATCTACCTTGTTCGTTTGTCTGTCCAGTAACTTCTTTCACATGATTTCTTCGTCTTTTCCGCTGTTTAATGTTATCGCGATGCCAAAGAGAAACGAAAAACACCAGCACTAAGATTTGGCGACAAACACCAGCTCAGGGATCAGAAACACTTGCTCTCGAAGTCGACATTCATCAACAAACGAAGAGGTAAATGCATTCATTCCCTGGCAAAGGACATTGGTGACAACGAATACAACAACAGTTACTCCGTAACAGCATTCATAATAACGCCTTGCACACACTGGTAACGCAGTCCGAGACCTCACCAGTTATTATACCATCGTTCGGCAAAAACTGACCACCAGCTTCTTGAAAATAAAAAATCACATTCAGCGCTCCCCCGCCATCAACGAATCACCATCGATCCCTTTCCTGTGTTTCTTTTCTTTTTCTGTCCCCACAGCAAGTGCCCTGGATATGGCCTCTTGTCAACGGCATATCCGCATTCCCGTGCCACAATAAGGGGAATCGATTGGCCCGTTGTCTAGAACAAAACGCGAAGCTCGAA